GATTTGTCTGTTGATGTTTACACGACTGTGTCTGAAGAGTAACTGATTTGAGATGTGCTGAAACGCACATTTCGAAAACTTGGAGTAGTTTTATGACTACACAAATTTTCTTTTACCTGATATCAGGTAATTGAATTTTAATGATTTCCCCGAACTTTTTTTTTTTATAGTTCCTAGAAAATTCGTACGCGACAGACAAGTCGGCGACGGATACTCAAAACAAATATTTTGAAGAAACTCACATATAATTATTATTATATTAATAATAACAAATTATTAGGTAAAAAAATATAATATAAAAACTAAATTAAAATACAGTGATTTTTAATTTTCTTAATTAAATGTTACACTTTTTCAAATGAACAACATTTTCAAATTTATTAGAAATCTCATTTTTTGTTTGTTTATTTTCTCATTTATTTTCTTCTTATGTTAATTCTTCATTTAATTATTTCATTTCATTTTCCTTGATTATTTTCCATATTAATTTGTTCATTTTCTTATTTTCAATCTTCACTGTTTCAAAATGTAAAGCAGTAGTAAAATCGAAAATAAAAAAGGTAAATTTCTACAAAAAATGTAATGCATTTTCATGTAAACTCTTTATAAATTAAAAAAATATCAAGCTAAAATGTTTCCCGACTAAAAAAGGAATGTAAATAAAAAGAAACGCTATGGATTTTATAATTGAGTATAAAAAATAAAAAACGTAGAAATAATTAATTCAGTCATTGCACTGCAATCGAAAGTCGCTCAAATTTTATAGACTTCGTCAGTTTATTATTACTACAATTTATTTCCAAACACTTCAAGGTGTGGGTGTGTCGAAATCCCAATTTTGGCTTTTCTAATTCCTGCTTCAAAAAACTTTGCAAATTATTTGCTCATCCGCAAATTCCGCAAAATTATTTAATTTATATTGCAATAAAATTAATGATATTTCCATCAACTTTCATATAAACAAACAAAAAACACTACTTTCAAGGCTTTAACCTATGCGATTTATTAGGTAACTTGCACTTCTTTAAGTGCATTGTTTGAAGAACAAATCGTTTCAAGAGAAAGAGAATTTGTCATCGGTTTAACAACAAACGATTTCTTTGCACATCCGAGAAACTAGTTTATAGAACACAATAAATTTATTCAAGAATTTCGCATTTCATTAAAATACCATTAAAAGAAATGCGATTGAATCATTCACAAACAATTTGAATAGAACATGTTTACGCTATTATTTATTTTTTTAAATAGAAATTCCATTACATATTTATTATAATTCATTCGATCAATCATCTCCCATTGATCAACGCGACGTTTTCTATTTATCAAAATAGTAGACTACAACTAATACTCACTTTATTAACTAAAACTAGGATGTAATAATCGACAGGAAATGAACGAAATAAATTATACATGTTTATTCTAATTTTCTCGATACATCTTCTAATTTTTAACGCAATAATTTATGGATCAACTAACAAAAAAAACTAGTGTATTTTCTCTTAATTTAGTAAGTGTTAATTTATGTTTAATTTCGAATTCGGTTTAAATTATTCCTGATTCTTACGAAACGGACGTTTTTTTTTTTTAATTTGGATGAAATTCAAGAAGAAAGTAACATCTGGAAATGATTACATATTAATCACATGTTCAGATTTTGACTTTGTTAAAATTAGATAGAAAATAACGAACTTTATAAGTAACGGTTTTTTTTTCTCTCGAAACGTTTTTGATGAAACATTTATATTCGATATTTTAACAAATTATCAAAAAAACAATCATCGAAAGAGATTATTTCATTATTTTACTTAATGTCTTATTCAATTGAATTTATTTATTTTGTTCTAATTTAATAAATAATTTCTATATTTATAGAAATATTTTTTAATTAATTTCAAAATATTTCGCTTAACGAGTTTAATCTGTTCTAAAATTTCTTGATTTTTACTCGTATAGCTATAGCGTACCCGGAAAAGGGATGTTTCTAGGAACTATCATTAAAAAGTTCGGAGAAATCATTAAAATTCAATTACCTGATATCAGGTAAAAGAACTTTTTTGTAGTCATAAAACTACTCCAAGTTTTGGAAATGTGCGTTTCAGCACATCTCAAATCAGTTACATTTCAGACACAGTCGTGTAAACATCAACTGACAAATCAACATGTCTTCCATATACAACATTTCCATGTCTCAGACGGACTCCGAGCTGCAGTATTTGAAATCATACACTCCGTCGATGTCTAAGGAATATGGAATATTTACAGGTAAGTATGTGGATTTTTCATTAATAAAGAAGAATTTGACGAAGACGCAAAGTATCCAAGTGCGAAATTTGGTGCAAGAAGTGATCAATATGAAGAGACTGCAGGAAGCTTCTGCAGATGATATGAAGACTTTGATGGATGCTATTTGCAAAGTGCTGCAGGAATTGCATAAAATCAAAATGTGGTCAGCGAATTGGAACCTTGTCTTGATCCATTTAGCCTGCTGCAAAATGGATGAAGATAACAGACATGAGTGGAACTCGTGCTGCGGAGATTTTCCAACTTTTGTACAGTTCTTGCATTTTTTGGAGAAACGCATGAATAGGAGATTGTACACTCCATCGACTTCAAGTCTAAATGGATTATTTTCTGGGAAGTATATCGATTACACATTGCTCAGGATGAATGTGCTCAACGCGCAAAGCATCCAAGTGCGAAATTTGGTGCAAGACGCGATCATTTTGAAGAGACTGCACGAAGCTTCTGAAGATGGTCTGAAGACTTTAGTTGATGCAATTGTCAAGGTGATGCTGGAATTGAAGACAATCCAAAAGTGGACTCCAGATTGGGAAATCATTTTAATACATTTATCTTGCTGCAAAATGGATGCAATTACCAGAAGAGAATGGAATTCGAGCTGCGGAAGAACGCCAACTTTAGCTAAGCTTTTGAAATTTCTGAACAAATGTATTTCCTTCTTTGATACTTTCAATATCTATTAACAATAAGGAAGAAAAAAGTGTTATTAGTTATTAACGTTTAAAGTTTTTTTCTTCCGCTTTTTCTTTTAAATAAATAACCAATAATTACAACCAAATTTTATTTGTGTCTTATTTCTATATTTTACCATAAAACGAAGCTTCAACAGCTGAAACAAAAACTAGTATTTTCTAGTTTAAATTAACAAAATTTACAAAAATTAACCATAATCGAATTATGTTTAAATTTGTACTATAATTACATCACTTATTAAAATTATTAAGATTCAATGTCGTTTTATTGTTAAACATTGATTTGGGTATAAATTTTCGGATTTTTACTCGTACAGTGAAACATATTCAAAAATATACATAAAATGCGTGCATAAGTTTTAAAACTGATGTAGAAGACGCGCAATCCGAGACTTCTCTTCTCATCGTCACTTGTTAAGCAAATAATTTTTCTTACAATTAATTTTGCTCGTTAAACGAATAATGAATATTATGCGAGGTTTCACTGTATTCTTAATTCATCGTTGTTTTTGTTGTGCAGTTATTATCATTTTTTGTTGTGCAGTGAAATGGAAAATGAATTGTAAATGTAGTTGAAATATTAGCATTTCACCGTAGATGCATAAGTAATAATACATACTTCTATTTATGGATAATACAAACTTTTCTTCACGTTTTTGGGGTAAACTTTCCAAAACTTTTAACTTTTAGTACCATAAATATAGTAGAAAGTTTCATGATTTATTATTGATTGTCTTTTTATGTGTATTGTAAATAATGCACATTTGAAGTATTTTTTTAATTATATATTAAATGATAATATAAAAATTGTAAAATTAATTAAATGTTAATGATAAAAATGAACAAATTTCACAACAAAAAAGTATCAAAATAATAAAAACAAGTTATATATTTTAATATTCCAAGTGATTACAAACATTTTATAATAATTGTAAATAAAGTTTGAAACATTTCTAAATTTTAATCATAATATTCATTGACTATTTTTTTCATTTAATGTGTAATAATTTCATTAGTATGTAAATAATACAACTTAAATTGTTCTATTTTTTATAATACATTTATATTTTCATTATATTAGTGATAATAATACAAACATTGTGTTAATAAAATTATATGCTAGAAGAATGATCTACGATTATCTTCTGATTATGGATTACAGTCAGTAAAGATTATAGCTATCTAGATGCAGTGTATCAAAACGTCAGTTTCAGTTGAATGTTGAGATATTGATTCGAATTGGATGAGATCTGCAGAAGATATATGGATGTGCGTGCGTGGGAGGGCAATAATCCAAGTTATAGTTGTTTTTCCCGCAACTTCGACGAACCCCCGAAAAGCGTACTTTTTGGGGGATCGATCCGTGCGTGCATGGGGTTGTGCCGAGGTCAAAAACTGTCTGGAACGTCGTTGGATCCAGACAGCTGATACCGGCTGCAAATGCATTTGACCACAGACGAACAGAAGATAGAACAAACGATAAAATAACAAGCTGAATAAAGATAGATAGAGAAAAATAAACGAGGGTTGCAGCAGACATCTCAATTAATCAAACGAATGAAAAACAAAATAACACATTTATAGTAAATAATAGGAGATGAAAACGCAACTTTATTAATCTTAGTGGAAACGCACCGAAAATTCCTCAAACGAAAGGAGAAAGTGTTATTTCTTTATTTTTTTTTCTTATTATTATTATGCGAGCGAAGGTGAAAATAAACCGATTAAATCAAATAGGAATTGAAATCTTCAAATCAATTTAAAAATTTACTTTTATTAATTTATATATAAAAAAAAAACAAAATTTATAACAAAAGAAAGTGAAAAGACAACAGCACGAGTATTTGATTTAAAAAGGAGATGTGCGGTGGAGGCGAGAATGCTATTTAAAACGTTCGTACCGAAATAAACCCCAATTTGTAATTAATCTCAGTCGGCTCTCTCGGCGTTTATATAACGGAAATACTCTAGTTTTTTTTTTTAATTTTCTTATTTATTTGTTACCTGATCATATGTGGGTTTTATTAAATCCTTGACAAAAAGCACTAAACTTTGATTGATTTGCAACACTCGTCCTTTATTACTCTTGACGCGAAAACCGACGGGTTAAGAGAGTTTTGATGTACGGGAGGATTTCGGGAAGCTGCAGTTTGCACGAACCCAACATCTGTACTAAATGCGAGAGTGTGTGTGCATTTTCTGGAACCCTCATCGTGTCTGGCTGTGTTTGTATGTATGTATTTATGTGTATATATATATATATACGTATATGAATGTGTGCGTCTGTGTTGTCCCCTTCGGGTGGTGTTCTCGTGCCATATTGCCACGAGCCCGCCCTTCTGCCGTATGGCAATTCACCCTCTTTCTCTCCTCTCTTCGCCCCAACGCGTTTTTACTCTCTCTCCTCTCTATTATTACCACATCCCTTCATCGAACTGTTCAATTCCGTTACCAATAATACATACACATAAAAACTTATTTGCAAAAGCCCTTTATTTTTCACCCATTTCCCACTTAAACTTTATACATTTCATGGTCGAAATACACCCAAAATGCAATAAATGCATTCGATCCATTGAATGATTCTGTTTCCACCATAAAACTTCCTACAAAACTCACTATAAAGTACACTATAATTCCATTACTTCTTCAAAAAAATTAATACTAATCATTACTTAAACAACTTTATTTAGAATAATGGATTAATTGAAAATATCTCAGTTAATTAAACAAATTTACTATTTATTATAGATACATTATAAAACCTTGTTCAAAAATCACTATAAAAAGGAAGAATTCAACATTTATTCAAAACATGAATTGTTAATTTAACAACTTCAAGAACTTCTCAGTTAATTGAACAAATTTACAATTTATTATAAATCTGTATTAAAAACATATTCAAATCTTCTTAAAAATTCACTACAAAAACGAATAATTCATCATTTATTCAATTGAAACTTCTTAGTTAATTAAACTAATTTTCTATTTATTATAAATCTGTATTACAAACATATCCAAACCTACATCAAAATTCAGTATATAAGGAAAAAATCAACATTTATTCAAGAAATTATTTTTTAATAAAACTAAATAACTTTTAAGTTAATTAAAGTAACGTAGTTTTTATTATAAAACTGTATTTTATAGATATTAAAACTTCTTCCGAAAACTCACTATAAAGTACACTATAATTCCATTACTTCTTCAAAAAAATTAAGTATTTATTACTGAAACAACTTTATTCAGAAAAGTAACATTTCAATAATGCATTAATTGGCAAATTCTCAGTTAATTAAACAAATTTATTATAAATCTGTGTTACAAACATATTGAAACCTTCTTCAAAACATGAATTGTTAATTTAACAACTTCAAGAATTTCTCAGTTAATTGAACAAATTTACAATTTATTATAAATCTGTATTAGAAACATATTCAAATCTTCTTAAAAATTCACTACAAAAACGAATAATTCATCATTTATTCAATTGAAACTTCTTAGTTAATTAAACTAATTTTCTATTTATTATAAATCTGTATTACAAACATATCCAAACCTACATCAAAATTCACTATATAAGGAAAAAAAATCAACATTTATTCAAGAAATTAATTTTTAATAAAACTAAATAACTTTTAAGTTAATTAAACTAACGTAGTTTTTATTATAAAACTGTATTTTATAGATATTAAAACTTCTTCCGAAAACTCACTATAAAGTACATTATAATTCCATTACTTCTTCAAAAAAATTAAGTATTTATTACTGAAACAACTTTATTCAGAAAAGTAACATTTCAATAATGCATTAATTGGAAAATTCTCAGTTAATTAAACAAATTTATTATGAATCTGTGTTACAAACATATTGAAACCTTGTTCAAAATTCACTAGAAACTAATTTATTTAGAAATTTAACAACTCAATAATGAATGAATTGAGAACTTCTCTGTTAATTTAAATAATTTATTTTTCAACATAAAACCGTATTACTGCATTATCATATCCAAACTTACTTCAAAATTCACTACAAAAAGAAAGAATGCAACATTTATTCAATGCTTTAATTGTTAATTAATTAAACAAATTTATTTATAAATTTAAAAACTCAATAATGAATTAATTCAAAACTTTTTAGTTAATTAAACAAATTTTCTATTTATTATAAATCTGTATTACAAACATATCCAAACCTACTTCAAAATTCACTGCATAAGGAAAAAAAAATCTACATTTATTTAATAATGGTTTCATTGATAACTTTTCAGTTAATTAAACTAACGTATATCTTTATTACAAAACTGTATTTTATAGAGATTGAAACTTCTTCCAAAAACTCACTATAAATCATTACTTAATGAATTAACCAAACAACTTTGTATAAATTAATAATTGAATAACAATAAAAAATTATGAAATTGCAGTAATTTGAACTACGTTTTTATTTATTAAAAAACTAGTATATTTCTGTATATTCTTTCAAAATTGATTGTAAAAATTAACAATTTACTCTTTATTAAACAAAATGAAGTGTTGATTCTATAAATGTCTTGCTTACATAACCAGTTAATGATGGATTAATTGAGAACTTAAACAATTTTATTTATAATCATGAAATTGTTATATATACTGATTCAAATTTGCTGCAATACTTTTAAGGACGAATTCACTAATCATTAAAAATGTGAAATAAATAATATAAAGCAAGATTTTCATAATTGATTACAAAAAAAAGAGTTCATTATGAAAATGCAACATATCTAAATTATTTCTTTTATTATAAATTAGTTAAGAATTTTTAAATACTTGAACGATTTTCTATTTATTATAAAACTGTAGTACACACAAAACTTAAGTTTTCAACATTATACATTTCCTATACGAATTATTTAAACAAAAAACAAGATTTTCATTACCACAATATAACAACTTGTATATAAAAATGAAACGTATAGTAAAATTACTAATTTTCGGTAAATTGAAGGATTTATTCAAACATGTCAAAGCGTTAATTATTAAATTGTAACATATATGTTATACTTTTCATAATGTAATTGACAATTTCCTATAAATAAAACGATTTTATAGTAAAAGATAATATTTTTACTAAAGAAAATCGAGATTTTTCTATTGTATATGTAAAAAATAATATATTAACTCTACAATTTCTATAAAAGTTTTCACGAAAAATTAAGAATTGTCAATTATTTAAACGATTTTTATATAAAAAAAAATATACTTCAGAAATTTTCTTGAAAACTTCATAAAAATGGAAAATTTTACTATTTTAATTTACTAATTAACAAAATACAACATCTGTTTTAAATCTAATCACTGAAAGTTACGATTCAATTGAAAACTTTAAGTGATTTGATGATAATAATTGATTAAGCTTTTTTTTTTAAACAAAATATAAATGAAAAAATATAACTTTCTATAAACTAATAAGCATTTTATAAAGTATACATTCAGAACATTTAATAAATTTGTCAATTAAATAAAAAAAAAAATTGTTAATAACCAATATACAAAATATCTAAATAACAACAACAAAAAACTTGTTGTATAAAAATAACAATCTTTTAGAAACTCAATAGTGGATCAATTAAAAGTAATATAATTAATATCGAATGAAAGTGAAAACGCTCTCGGCTCTCAAGCTGTTAAAAAATCAGTGTTAGTAACAGTAATTTGAATAAATTTAAAACCGAACCCTGCGTAAATATTTACTTTCAGCAATTATCTGTGCATAAATAAACGACGTTAAAAAAAACTCATTTAAACTTTACTCTTTTAAGTAAAATAATAATGGTTTTTATAACCAATTGAAAAAGTAGGTATTAAACGTTTTTTTATCAATTTAATGAAATCTTATTAAAAAGAAATAAAATTAACAGTCCGTAAATCTGTTTAATGTTAAAGATCTTAGAAAGTGTTTAATTACATTTACACGAGTTTATCTTTACAAATCATCTAATTATAGTTTAAATAATTATTCACTACTTGTTTTTAGTTAATAGAAAATACAAAGTAAGGAAATAAATAATTTTACTTGAATGTTATTTCAAAGAAATAGAATTAATGATCCATAACTCTGTTTTTATTTAAAAATCGAACACTTTTTATAATAATTATAGTTCATGTTTATCTTTTATAAATTATTTTCAATAATACTGAAAATTGAAATCATTTTCTCGTCATTTTCACAATGTCCAACAATAAATATTTAAATTTCCCGCTTAAAATGTAAATAACAGTTGTATACGCGTTACAATAACAAAAATTCACATCAAATGTTCCTTGTTTATATTAGTTTTTGTTTATAGTAATTGTATAACAAATATACGTTTTTAATTACACAAATATTATAATGTAAGAAAAGTTTACTTTAATTATTCTTTGTTTATAGTTAATAATTATATAAGAAATTTATGTTTTGTTAGAAATTCACTTTGAAATAGTATAGTTTTCAAAAATAACAATCACATTTAAATTTCCCGCTAAAATTCAAACATCTGAAAATCTTTGATTTGTATTAGAAAGTTATCAATAATGAACTTAGAATATGATTTGACATATTTAAATTTCCCGCTTAAAATTAAAAAAAATAGTAACGTTTTTAAACATGTAAGCACGATTTATATAATCAATATTTAAATTTCCCGCTGAAATTTGAAACAACTGAAAAGCATCTAATAACAAAAGTTAATTTTAATTAATCTTTGTTTATATCCATTGTTTAACTAATAATTATATAACGAAATTTTTTATTTGTATTATAAAATTATCAGTAATGATAGTAGAAATGTATTTGAAATATTTAAATTTAAAAAATACTAACGTTTTTAAAAATGTTAGCACATCAATATTTAAATTTCCCGCTAAAATTCAAACAACTGAAAAGTTAACTAATCAATGTTTGTCTATATCAATTTTATATAATGATTTTTTTATTTGTATTATAAAATTATCAGTAATGAAAGTAGAAATGTATTTGAAATATTTAAATTTTCCGCTAAAATTTTAAAAAATAGTAACATTAGAAACATAAGTACAATTGATCAATATTGAAATTTCCCGCTAATGTTTAAACAAGCCAAGCGCATTTAATAAAAAAAACAGTGTATAATAATTGTATAACAAATTATTGTTTCAATTATATAAATAATAATATCAAAAACCAAACATTGTTTCAAATTATGTGTCAATTTTTCTTACACACTTTGAATACGAATAGAACGTATCGAATACAGCAGCCTACTCGAGTATTGATTAGTCACGAGCCACGATATTTTTCCATTCATCAGTATTCACTGCGCTTTCGTGCTCAACTTTCAATACAACAAAAGTAACTGTTAACACAAATTAATAGCATAAAGAATTAACTAAAATAAACATTAAACATTTTTTAACTGGAAATACTACCCCAACTTTACTAGAAGACCTAGGTCAACAGGATTTCAGTTAACTAACGGTATTTCACTAAAATATGAAAGTTTATAAATAAATTTCTCGAAAATAGCAAAAGATTACATCAAACACATGATGTTTGTATAAATATAGAGAGAAAAAAAAAACAATATAATACAATCAAAAGAAACTTAATAGTCTATCAATTACGATGACCGAATTGGAATGAAATTTTTATCGAAGAAAGTGAAAACAGCTGCGGCTGCTTCGAACAGACTCTTTTTTTTTATAAACATACTCCTTATTCTCTCGTTCGTTTCTTTGCTAAAACGTTAAATGAAATCAATTCATTTGAATCCGCATTCTCGTTTCGTTTTGTAGGTTTTGGTCTCACTTTTATTTGTTGTTTATACAACGACAAAAAAATACAACGTAGATTTGTAAGATCATTCAGTACAATTTTTAGATTTATGTTGTTTATTTATTTGTACGTTTTTTTTTGCTTAATATAAATTTGTTTTTGGATATGGTAAAATTAATGAAATTACATTTTCATCAAAATCTTTAAAAATTTATATATTTGTTTCACTTCATTAAACTTTTCACTTTATGAACTTTTTAAGAATAAATGAAGACAAATTCAACTAAAAACCACGAATAAATTGACAAATTTTCAATAAAATTTGTAAATAAAATATGTATATTTGTGTCAATTCATTGAAATGAGTTTTGATTTGCTTAAAGAGACTAAAACTTATGAAATATGTACATTTTTCATATTAACTCACTTGAAGAACATTTCAAGGTTAAATTAAGACATAGTTCACTAAAAACCATCAATAAATTGAAATTTTTTCGACAAAATTTGTAAAGAAAATTTGTTTCAATTCATTAAAATGAGTTTTGATTTGCTTAAAGTGACTAAATCTTATGAAATATGAAAATTTTTCATCTTAACTCACTTTAGCATCGTTTCAAGATTAAATGAAGACAGAGTTCATTAAAAACCAGGAATAAATTGAAAGTTTTTCAACACAATTTGTAATGAAAATATGTATATTTGTTTCAATTGATTAAAATGAGTTTTGATTTGATCAAAGAGACTAAATCTTATGAAATATGTAAACTTTACATCCTATCTCACTTTATGATAGTTTTAAGAAGAAAAGAAGACATACTTTACTAAAAACCATGAATAAATTGAAAAAATTTCAACAAAATTTGTAAAAAAAACATATATAATTGTTTGAATTCATTAAAATGAGTTTAAATGTGCTTAATATGACTAAATCTTATGAAATATGTAAACGTTTTATCTTAACTCACTTTATGAACGTTTCAACGATAAATGAAGACAGAGTTTACTAAAAATCCGGAATAAATTAAAAAGTTTTCAACAAAATTTATAAAGAAAATATATATGTTTGTTTCATTTCATTAAAATGCTAAAAACCATGAATTAATTGCAAATGTTTCATCAAAATCTTTCAAAAATCTATTTCATACCATTAAAAATAAGTTTCAATATTATAATATTTGTATTTTTCTTTAAATTAACTCGATTTAGGAGCGTTTTCAGCATAAATTGAAGTAAATGAAGACTGATTTAAAGTTAACTAAAACATGATATTTTATGTAAAAACAAATATATTTGATTCAAATCAGTAAATTTTTCATCAAAATCTTACAAAAATGTATTTCATACCATTAAAAATAAGTTTCAATATTATAATATTTGGATTTTTTTTTTAAATTAACTCACTTTTTGGGAATATTTCATGAATTTTAACATATCTTTATTCGCAAAGAATTGTTAATATTACAAAACTTAATAAACATAATTTTCCCTTTACATTAATATTCTCAGCATATTTTTCACTCGATTAATAAATAATACATGCGCAATAAACCGCAACATTTGTTTCGTTGTAAATTATTACTTTGTATTTATTTTCTCTCTGTATAAATTAATACATTCTTTTTATTTCCCTCTCTTTTTCCACATTTTTTATTAACGACACTCGCATAAGTTTATAAGCAAGGACATATAAGCAACTAATAATTATTTCCTTTTAATTGAATCATATTTTTTTCAAAAGAAAAGAAAAACACATCAACACGCCAACTACAACTATAATAACTATATATCAAGAAACTACATTAACTATTTCATATACAAGTTTTATTACCTATAAAATATTTTTCCTTTATTCACAATTTTATTTATGAAATATGTTTCTAAGTTTAATAACTAATATCTATTAAAAAAAATCAAACCGGACTATTGGAATTCTTAACCGCACTATGCGAGATATTATTGTAAGAATGCATCCTTAATTAATTGGAAAAGAACCATGAAAAGAAATCTCTTAGTTCTGATTGAATCTATTGAAAATTTGCATGATTTGACAATTATGTTTGTAAGTTTGAGAAGTAATTCGTATAAACAAAAAAAATCAAACAGGACTATTGAAATTCGGACTGATCGAAACCGCACTATACGAAGTATTACTGTAATTGTTAATTTAAAGAAGTAAAATATTTGAATTAAATTAATTGGAAAAGAACCATAAAAACAAATCTCGTAGTTCTGATTGAATGTATTGAAAATTTGCATGATTTCACATGAAGTAATGATTTCATTAAGAAGCAATTCGTATAAACAAAAAGAAAACAAACAGAACTATTGAAATTCGGACTGATCGAAACCGCATTATGCTGTAATTGTTAATGTAAAAAAGTTAAATAATGTTTTTGATAATATTTTTTTTAATTAAATGTTGTGAAGAATGGACCCTTAGTTAAATATAAAATAACGGTGAAAACAAATCGCTTAGAACTGATTGAATCTATTGAAAATTTGCATGATTTGACAATTTGCGGCGGTTTTATAGGGGTGCAAGTAGTAGGCGTGTAAGAGGATTTGCCTAATGCGCATGGGGTTAGTTGGCATCATAATAATGATAATATGTAATGATTATGCCATGGCATACGTTTCAAAAAAATATAATTCAATAATCTCTATAGAAACGTTGAAGTTAATGATACAAAATTGAATTGCTTCGAGTAAATAAAACAGAGTTTATTTATCGTTGGCCGCAACAGTACGTGTTGCATAACGTAAAATATTATGCTTCTGAAATAGCCGCAAAACGGTAATTAAGTTGCTAAGAATAAACTCGGCACAGTAGCCGACATTATTTATAGGATCCGGCGTGCTTTTCGGTGCGAAAGAAAACAAGAAACAAACAACAAAAAAAAAATGAAGCCGGTAATCGGATGCTTCCATCTACCGGAACTTTGCGTAAACTTCAGCTTTCATCGATTCCTTCAACTAACAAGTTCAAAATTGTGTTTGATACAGTGAATTTCTTCATATAAGCAACATTTCTATCAAAAAAAATTAATAATTAATTATTAATAACTTCTTAAATTAATTAATTTTCTTATAAAATGTGATAATTAAAAAAAAATGAATAAGATTGGGACGTTTATAATACAAATTTTCTCTGTGTTCAGAATATTTGAACTCAAAAATGAAAAATTAAATTTTTCTATACAATAAATGAACTTAAAATTAAATTTTTTTGCTTAACTGTATTCAAAAATTAATGAATAATAATTAGTGTTTTTATTAGTATTTTCATCTTTTAATCATCGTTTTTATTCAATTATTGTAAATATAACAGACTGTTAAATTTTATTTTATTTTTCTAACATTGTTTTCGAAAGAAAATATCGTAAGTTCATTAACAATTTTAGTCGTCTAACTATGATTTAGTTGTACTTAGAACAATTTAGTATAACTTAAAGATTGTTTACAATGATGAATTTAACAAAATATTAAGTTTTTTCTTGTACTTACGTTATTTGGGGTAGCTATTTTGACTGGGTTTTGATCAAGTGGGAAGGCATCATCACGAACGTCAGGTCCATTGGAAGAGAACGGTAACGCACCACGAGATTACACAGGGATTACCGGAGGATAATTGCAGAATTGAGAATCTTTTGTAGGAAGTAACAGAAAAACGATGCACACACGACCGTAAATGACCTATCGATTTCCGCGTCAAGTCCTTCCTCTCCTTTCCTTCTCCGTACGCTTTTATTGCGAAGGATTTCAGTGGGAAGGAAATGCTGCGAAATAGCTCTGCGGTGATAAGGTCGTCCTGCGGGGGCGGAAAAGGGCGGCGGATGGCGCACGCCCAAGTATCCTGTCGTCCTGCGCGCACGATCTCATCGATTCCGATGCAAAAGAAATCATGGATTACGAAACATGCGAATGGAACAAACACTATTAGTGTTGTTGTTGTTATGGATTGATGACAGTTTGTGCGAACGTCAATAATTTGACAATTGAGACAATTGTAGTAAAGGATGAAAAGTAGGATTAACGACCAAAGAGTGGCTAAAGTCAACATCGAAACTTCGAGCAACGCAGAATGCAATTCGATCCAAGAAATTGCTTATTTGAAGAGCGAAATCCAAGATTTACGTGATAAATTGCAGATGAGGAATCATGTAATGGTAATATTTTAATGTTAATGAAGACATCTATTGTTTATTTTACTAAGTTTAGGAATCAAAGTTAAGTAAATTTGAGGAAGACAAGTGTAGATGCGAAGTTGAAGATTTCTTGAACGGAATTGCCGATTTGGAATGTGACGATTTTCGTAAGATAAAAGCGTATTTCGATATCTTTAAAACCCGCATCAACAATAACTGTGATATTGACAAGTATCAAACGATTATTAAGCAAGAGGATGAAGAAATTCGTATCCTTAATTTTAATTTAGATAACAAAAAAACACAATCTTTAAATTTATTTATTTTTTTAACAAAATTTCAGAAATTTTATCAAAAATTGTTGATAAAAACGTTTATCATGTTGTTGTTGTTGTTATGGATTGATGACAGTTTGTGTGAACGTCAATAATTTGACAATTGAGACAATTGTAGTAAAGGATGAAAAGTAGGATTAACGTGTACGCGAGGATACGAAGGGAGGATGTTGCGAAGAGATTGGTAAAACTAATTTTAAAGATCTCGTTAAGTTTAAGCTCTGGTTGTTAACTTTACGTTGCAGTTTTATGGGGTGGATCGTTCGAGCAACGGTGACACTTTAACGCTGCATCAGCCTGAAGATGATCACCGGAAGAAACGCATTTCGCACAGATTCAGGTAAATCTCAATTATGATGAAAATTTATCAATTAATTTGCTGTTAATTTAGTTAAAAAAAACATTTCTAAGCAATAATTCTTGTTTGCAGACATTATTTGAATTATAAACATTGACGAATAATTTCTTGAAGAACTGTGTAATGTTCATATTTGTTGATTTTTTGTTAGGTTAGGTTATTCTGGAAAATTATTCTTTCATTGAGTTTTCTTGTAAAACTACGTGTAAAGTGACATATTTAAAAACTTTAATGTATAGTTCAACATTAATATAACCTGACTTCTGATTCAACATAAATATAACTTAACCTCAATCCGAACACTAATTTGACCAAACCTATTACAACAGTTTACCCTTACTTAATTTCAATATTATTCTTTGTTAACCTAACTTTTTATTCCAACATTATTCTAACCTAACCTAACCTAACCTAACCACACATAATAAAAATATGATACAGTCATATATCTTTTATTTCAGATTTCAAAGGGTGTTTGATTTAAATTCAGATCAAAAAGATGTGTTTGAAAGTATCGCAGTTCCGATTATTGATAAGTACAGTTTTCTTATGAATATTGTTTAGATATCGAATTAAATTAAGAATTAATTGTAGAACTATGGATGGTCGAAATGGTACGATTTTTGCGTACGGACCGGTAAAAATTAACAGTTTTAAAAATTAAATTTTTTTAATTAACAATGTTTGGTTGTAGACAGGAAGCGGAAAAACGTATTCCTTAACAGGATCGCATTCAAACTACGAAAAACGTGGATTGATTCCGAGGACCATCGAATACATATTCAAATTTCTCACCGAAGTATTATTTTTGACTTACCTTTATTTCACTGAAAACATTAAAATTAGCTTTTAGATTTTTCTTTTAGTTTAAGTTTAAATATGAAATTAACGTTAAAATATTTCAGTTTTTTTTAATTAATTTTCTGAAAGAATTGTACAATTTTGTTTGAATATTTTCAGACAAATGGAAGATACATCGTGTATTTATCATTCTTGGAGATTTACAACGAAACAGCTTACGACCTGTTGAATCCGAAAAGAACGTTTGAGAGCGGCGCGGAGGAATTACCGTAAAGTGAGTAAAGAAAAAAAAACTATCAAAAATGTGTTATTTTATCAAATTTTTCAACATTTCAGGTGTGCGATTTATAGATAGATAATTCAGGAAAATCTTTGTCTCTTTTTTTTTTTTTGGTTTCTTTACACAGACGCGTCACTTTCATGGAGGACAGAGATGGTAGAGCTCAATACAAGAATTTGAATGTCGTGAAAGTTTGCAGTGAACGTGACGCTATGAAACTGTTGTATATGGGAGATACCAGAAGGTTAGTTTTTTACATTTATCAATTCCTTTTCTATGTTATGAAGATTTTTTTTCGTTTTCAGGACAACTGCTGAAACTAGTTTGAACAAGTGTTCTTCCAGATCTCACTGCGTCTTCACGTTTTACATACATTTCTTTGATGATGCAGGAAATACGTTGATTCAATCTAAATTGAATATTGTCGATTTGGCTGGGTATTATCTATTTTCAATGAAGATTTTCATTTTATCTTCTTCAATTTCATAAAACTTTATCAACATCTTAATTTTATTAGTTTGTAGTTGAAGAGTTTTAGAACTTCTTTCGTTTTTCATTTATATTTTGATTGAATTGGACCAAATTTGAACAAAGATTTTGATCGAATTGAACCAGATTTCATGAAAGATATTGATTATATTGAACCAAACTATGGGTTTCTGATTTTTATATAGTATTTTTTTTGTATAATTTAGTTCAGAAAGATTGAGTAAACTATCTTTGAACGGCGTGAACTTGAGCGAGGCCAAATACATAAATCTGTCTTTGCATTACTTGGAACAAGTAATTTCGGCCTTGACTGAAACCAACAGAGCTCACGTTCCATTCAGAAACAGCCTTCTCACATTCATGCTGCGCGATTCCCTTTCAAACAATGGAGCTACCACGATGTTGGCAACATTGAGCGTATCTCAAATAAACTACGAGGTTTTTCCATAATCAAACTTACAAAAATGATCAACTAAATTTAGCAAATTGCAGGAAACTATGGCCACTTGCAAATTCGCCCAAAGAGTGGCTAAAGTCAACATCGAAAGTTCGAGCAACGCAGAATGCAATTCGATCCAAGAAATCGCTTATTTGAAGAGCGAAATCCAAGATTTACGTGATAAATTGCAGATGAGGAATCATGTAATGGTAATATTTTAATGTTAATGAAGACATCTATTGTTTATTTTACTAAGTTTAGGAATCAAAGTTAAGTAAATTTGAGGAAGACAAGTGTAGAGGCGAAGTTGAAGATTTCTTGAACGGAATTGCCGATTTGGAATGTGACGATTTTCGTAAGATAAAAGCGTATTTCGATATCTTTAAAACTCGCATCAACGATAACTGTGATGTAGACAAGTATCAAACGATTATTAAGCAAAAGGATGAAGAAATTCGTATCCTTAATTTTAATTTAGATAACAAAAAAAACACAATCTTTAAATTTATTTTTTTTTTAACAAAATTTCAGAAATTTTATCAAAAATTGTTGATAAAAACGTTTATCATGGAAACAGAATAACTATTGACACTCCCTGCGCTCTTAACAAAGATTTTAAGAAATTGGAATTTTCTAAACCTAATTTGAACGATAATCTTAAAGTGGCCAAAAAGTATTCGTCGCAACTGCGCGAACTTCAATTGAAAATAATCGATGTTCGAGCACAGATCGAAGCTAATTCGAATAATTTCGTGAAAGTTAACAAATTGGAGACTGCTTTGAAACATGCTCAAGTGGAATATCGCGGTTTGTTGGGTAAAATTGAGAGTATCAAAGAGGAAGTAGAAAATACGCCTTTGAGTGTAAAAAGGACTAAAGTTAGGTTCGAGTCTAAATTGAAGAATGAGCAGATTGGATTGTCGTATGCGAAACAATGTAATTTGAATAATGTGTTGATGGAAGCTAAAGCTTCGAATGTTAGAAGAGTTGATGGGTCTATAAAGAATCAATTGGTGCGGAAATTGAATGAAGATGTTAAAGCTAATGAAGTTGTTAAGAATGATGAGTGTAAGGAGTTTAATATCCACGCTGAATTGGATTTGCTTTTGAATGAAAATTGCAATAGAAATCAATTTGGTGGAGAGAAAATTTTGAATGAAGATTTTAGAAAACCAATTGATTATAGAGATTTTGATAATCTTGTCTCAAATGTAGATTTTGAAGGAAATTTGAAGAATGATGTCATTGAACCAAAATTGAAGAAAAGTTTTGATTTCATTGAACCAAATTTGAAGAAAAGTTTTGGTAGAATCGAACCATATTTGAGAAGAGAAATTGATTCGATTCAACCAAATTATTTGAAAAGTTTTGATGAAATTGAACCAAATTGGAGCAAAGATTTTGAGATTACAGAACCAAATTTTATAGTAAATTCTGATGTTGTGGTTCAACCTAATTTGAAGCAAAATTTTGATAAAGCTGAAACAATTTTTGGGCAAGAAGATGATAAAGGTTTCAAGGACTTTTTGAAATCTGTACCTTTGACTGGCGACGCTGAAATCGACGAGGAAATCATCAAATTCTATAAACTAAAGTTTAAGACGTAAACAATACGATTTATATATTATTTTTATAAACATAAACATGAATCACAGAACACAATGTATGTTTTCTTGTTCGATTTTATCGCCTTGCATTATCGCCTGCAAAATGGTCAGCCGATTCGCATTTATGGATCCGATGAAGACGTGATTCTTGCTCGGACATTCTTCTCTAGGTATAATCAATGGTACCAACTGTTTTCCGGCTATCACAGCTGTAGATCTTAGCTTAAACCCTTCGATTCCTATACAAAAAAAAAAGATTAATTAATTTGTGAGATTTTGATTGTTTTGTGTTACCTTTATATTCATAAATTTGCAAGTTCTTTTCGTCTTCCATGAAGATTAGAAGAGTTTCTCCGTTTTCACCAAACTCTAAAGATATTAATGATGATGGTTTATAAGTTGGTACTTTGTGGTATAAAGTTCCGGTCAAGATGTCTTCATAAATCTAAAATTTAAAAGATAATTTTAGGTTTACTTTTTTGTTGATTGTTCTTTTACTTTGATGAAATCCAGACGACCTCTAACACTGGTTTCTTCGTGTGAAGCGTAGGCTAAGAAGGTTCTTCTCCTCGGATAACCAACGTTCAACCGAAGAAGTTCACCGCCGTTGCGACCAGGAAGTAAATGCATCTCTTGAACAGTAACATTTCCAATAACCACAGCGTCGTAGCTCTCAGCCATGTCGACTACATCGTTGGTGTTTAAGTAGAAGATTTTCCTTCCGTTACGAATTGCCAATGAAGTTTTCAAACCTCGCGGAATGAAAGCAGCGTTTTCTATCCAAAAATTACCCAAAAATTATGATTGTGTAAGCTTAAATTTATGATTGCTTTACCTGTTGGAATGTACCATCTCCGAATCTTCCGCAAATCAGTTTCGATCACTGTTGTAAGCAAGAATTCGTTCACTGCATCCTTGTCCATCGTGTAGAAAGTTCCCGGTTTTAGAGAATCTTGCAACAAAATTTGATCACCTAAATTGTACAGCAACTGAAAAAAGAAATGGTTAATTTCGTTGTTGGTTATTAATTTTTGGTATATAAAGAACCATTAGATCATCAGCTTCGAACTTCCAAATATTGCTGTTTTCGATGCTGCAATTGGTGAAAACAACATCACTTCTGGTGATTAAGAAGAGGAAATCGCCGTCTCTTACGGTGATGACTTGAGAGATTAATCCGGTTTGGATGTAGCGGAGATGCTGAAAACCGTGCTCGGCCCAAAGGAAGAGACTCGATTTACAGCTGTTCTCTTCGCTCACCAAAAGGTAAGCCTTACCCAAATACTAAAATTATAAAGTTTAGATCAAAAAAAACTTAGTTTCAATTGAATTTAAACCTCAAATTTATGGACGTTCGCAATATCGTTTTCGAACTCCAAATATTGGTAATAATCCAAATAACTGAACAAGTAAATCTGATCTCTGGAAGCTGAAATTATCTTGTTTATATCCTTGCAAATCATTCCGTATTGATTCTGAAAATATAAATTGTTTCATTATCGAAGTTTTCTTAAATATTTTCCAAGTTACGATTATTTCGCTTTCGACTGTAGTTTTGAAGACTCTGCGCTCTTCGGTGCGATCCGCCAATTTCCTGATTTCGAAGCCGCAAATCTTGCCGCTTCCTAAGACGTTGTTGCCGAAGGTGATGTTGTTCGCTTTCCAAGGTTGATTGATTGTTTGCGGGGTTTCAGCGTATTTGTAGACGGCGCTGGAAGTCCACTCGCTGATGTTGATGTTGTTTACTAAACCGTATGCGATGACGTGATTGGCCACGGTCGTTTTATCGGTGAATTTGTAGGAGGCGGTGAGATTCTGCACGGTGTTTGTGGTAACCAAAGATGATACATTGTAGCCGTTCAGATTACCGATGACTTCTAGAACGTCACGCACCAAAACGTTGCTTTCAAATATGACTCTAGAGTTCACCCCTTGATTCCTGTTGGACTACAATCACAAATAAAACAACAAGTATTAACAGAATCTACACGTTTTGTTGTATAACTTGACAATTACTTGCGACAATTAGAAGTGTGAGTACTTGATTTAAAGACAAATATTTAGAGTTCAATATGCAAGTATTTACATATTTGGAACTAATACCGTTTTCCTGTAATTAGACCTCAAATTTGAAAAAAATAATTATAACACTAGAAAAAGCAGTGCTCCTTGTTTTGTTGTATTACTTGACAATTACTTGCGCCAATTAGAAATGTGAGTACTTGATTTAAAGATAAATATTTAGAGCTCAATATGCAAGTATTTACATATTTGGAACTAATACCGTTTTCCTGTAATTAGACCTCAAATTTGAAAAAAAAACTTTTTTTATAATACTCGAAAAAACAGTGCTGCTTGTTTAGTTGTATTACTTGACAATTACTTGCTACAATTAGAAGTGTGAGTACTTGATTTCAAGACAAATATTTAGAGTTCAATATGCAAGTATTTACATATTTGGATCTAATACCGTTTTCCTGTAATTAGACCTCAAATTTGAAAAAAAAACTTTTTTTATATCACTCGAAAAAGCAATGCTCCTCTTGTTTTGTTGTATTACTTGACAATTACTTGCGACAATTAGAAGTGTGATTACTTGAATTAAAGACAAATATTTAGAATTCAATATGAAAGTATTTACATATTCGGAGCTAATACCGTTTTCCTGTAATTAGACCTCAAATTTGAAAAAAACATAATTATAACACTCGAAAAAGCAGTGCTCCTTGTTTTGTTGTATTACTTGACAATTACTTGCGACTATTAGAAGTGTGAGTACTTGATTTAATGACAAATATTTAGAGTTCAATATGCAAGTATTTACATATTTGGAACTAATACCGTTTTACTGTAATTAGACCTCAAATTTGAAAAAAAAACTTTTTTTATAACACTCGAAAAAGCAGTGCTCCTTGTTTAGTTGTATTACTTGACAATTACTTGCGACAATTAGAAGTGTGAGTACTTGATTTAAAGACAAATATTTAGAGTTCAATATGCAAGTATTTACTTATTTGGAACTAATACCGTTTTCCTGTAATTAGACCTCAAATTTGAAAAAAAAAAACTTTTTTTATAACCCTCCAAAAAACAGTGCTTCTTGTTTAGTTGTATTACTTGATATTTAGAGTTTAATATGCAAGTATTTAAATATTTGGAACTAATACCGTTTTCCTGTAATTAGACCTTAAATTTGAAAAAAAAAACTTTTTTTATATCACTCGAAAAAGCAGTGCTCCTTGTTTAGTTGTATTACTTGACAATTACTTGCGACAAATAGAAGTGTGAGTACTTGATTTAAAGACAAATATTTAGAGTTCAATATGCAAGTATTTGCATATTTTTAACTAATACCGTTTTCCAGTAATTAGACCTCAAATTTGAAAAAAAAAAACTTTTTTTATAACCCTCCAAAAAACAGTGCTTCTTGTTTAGTTGTATTACTTGACAATTACTTGCGAGAATTAGAAGTGTGAATACTTGATTTAAAGACAAATATTTAGAGTTTAATATGCAAGTATTTAAATATTTGGAACTAATACCGTTTTCCTGTAATTAGACCTTAAATTTGAAAAAAAAAAACTTTTTTTATAACACTCGAAAAAGTAGTGCTCCTTGTTTAGTTGTATTACTTGACAATTACTTGCGCCAATTAGAAGTGTGACTACTTGATTTAAAGATAAATATTTAGAGTTCAATATGCAAGTATTTATATATTTGGAACTAATACCGTTTTCCTGTAATTAGACCTCAAATTTGAAAAAAAATAATTATAACACTCAAAAAAGCAGTGCACCTTGTTTAGTTGTATTACTTGACAATTACTTGAGACAATTAGATGTGTGAGTACTTGATTTAAAGACAAATAATTAGAGTTCAATATGCAAGTATTTACATATTTGGAACTAATACCGTTTTCCTGTAATTAGACCTCAAATTTTAAAAAGCAGTGTGTCCACGTTTTGATGTATTACTGGACAACTAATTAGAGCAATTATAAATATGAGTACTCTAATTAAAGCCAAATATTCAAGCTTCAATATGCAATATGCAATATGCAAATATTCCTATCTAGTACCATTTTTCTGAAATAAGCTCTCAAAGATGGACATTTTTCATTCAACTGATTCAACTTACGATTATAGAATTCAAGTATTGATCTTGAAGATTAACACCATTCACCAAATTCCCAACAGACAGATCACGAAACACCGACAACTTGGACACAGCCAACGTTTTACTTATAACTTGTTCCGTCTTCAAAGGAATAACTTCAAGCATCGAAATACCATTAAGAAATTCAACTTCAGCTCTTCCCCGTACATCAACCCAATCAAACTTTACAGTTTCTAGAATAAACAAACAAAAATTTAACATAATTTCGACAAAACTTTACAATTCTTACCAGGAATGAAACCCTTGTTAATATAGATTGCGTTAACCCAATCAGACACGTTAACACCATCAACAAATTGACTGTTAAAATCATCGTCCAAAATGAATTCTTCGCGTATAACCACAGGGTTTTGGAACTGAATTGGAACGTTAACAACGGCGTCTTGCGTGATGTACAAGAGTTCATCCTTCATGTTGATCATATCTAAACCGTTGATTTGATTCTTAATAATCAAATTGGCGTCAATTGAAACCGAATCTTCGAAGATCAATTCAGACGGAATCCTTTGATCCTGATTAACGTCAACCCTGTTCATCATGAACTCGGATATATTGATTTTGTTTATAAACCCTTGCGTATTCAACTGTTTTACGTAAGCTACTTTACTGAACATTACGTTTTCTAAAAATCAACTTAACTTATACAAATTTGTTTAATAATTGCAACAAAAAAAAACAAACCTTTAATTCTATATGTGTTTTCGTTGAGGCTTTCAAACGAGTTCACGAAGTAATTAACAGGTATTTCGTTGATGTTACCTAAAACCTCGGCGTTTTCCCTGATCAGAACATCTCCGAAAACGATCACCGGTGATTTTATCTGTTGCCTTCCAGATTTCAACAAGATATTTTCCATTTTAACTGCGTTCAAACGAGGCGAAACCATGTAATTCAGCACTTCGTAACCGTTGGCGTACAGCTTGAATCCGTCGATTCTAACATCATCAGTTTCGTTCTTGAAAACCACGTTTTCCAGCATTTCTTGAAACGGAATATCGTTGAAATTATCCGTGATAATTTCTTTAACATAAACGTTATCCTATCAAAAGAAGAAATGATTAAATTTTGATGAAACTTTCTTAGTTTTTAGATTACTTTGAAGGCTAAAGTTGGGCCATCGTTTTCCTGCGACCAAACGCAATTTTTCGTTATATTTTTCATGGGAATACCGTTTACACTCTCAATGGATAAAGTTTCTTCCACTATAAGATCTGTAAATGAAATAAACTAATAATTTATCCAAATTATATTTGATAATTTACCTTTAATTTTATACTTGTTTTCGAGTAAATTCTTTTTCAGTATTTCACCAACAACGTCGACATCGAACAATTCTTTGAACTGGTAATTATTAACGTTATTAACAACCAAATTGTACATATTTGAAGTATTCAGTTTATAATCTGCCGTAATCTGTTGATCTCGAGTAAAACTGAGCCTTCTTTGATCTATAATTTGCAGATTGAAATTATCCTCAATCGTATTCAAATTTCCTTCGACTATCAAATTCGAAACTTTGATTCTATCGAATTTCGTGTTTAACAAAACGCTGTTGCTATCAGTGTAGAAGTAATCAGAAACGGGTATTTCGTTCAAACCGCCCAAAATTTCGATTTCACCCACGTTCAAATCTTCCTCGAAAATTAGCTCTGACGAAATGAACTGTTCTCCCGACAACTTCACGCATTCTTGATCCAAATTAGTCAAGTTTACATCCCCAATATTACCAGACAACTCCAAGTTTTCGAAAGTCACCAGACCACGCAAAATCTTAGCCTTGATTATTTCTTGACTCTCTTTATGTATGAAACTGTCCAAATCAAAATTATTAATCTTGTTGGAAAGTAAGTTAAGATTGCTTTGCACTGTGAAACCGTTAGCAAATCCTTTCAGGGCGTGAATTTCAGCAAAATCCTCATTCTGAAAAAAAATTAAATTAAATTTTTTTTTTGACAAAAAATTAATAATTAAACCTTATAAATAACATTCTCTAGTATCTCATCCAAATTGCTTCTGTTGAATCTATTTTCAACGTAAATTGTGCCTTCAACTTCTAAATTCTTGAAGCTAATATCGGACATGATGTGTTTGGTCTTGGTTATACCCACGTTCGGTAAGAAATCTTCCAAATTTACACCAGTCACGTTACCAATGATCTGCAAAAAAAAAAAAATTAACAAATTTTTCCAAACTAAATAATAACGATTAACTCACATCTAAACTTTCTGTGACTTCTAAGTCTTGGAAGGTGAATTTACCGAAGATTTCCTGTTGCGTTGTCATGGTCACCAATTCGTTGGGGTCGACACCGCCGATTGTTTCAAAGGTCACTAGTTCATTTACGAATATCGGGTTCGAAAACATTTTCTTGCCTGTTACAAAGTGAAATGATGTAGTTTGTGAAATTATTATTATTAATTATTATGAAAAATACCTTTGATGTGTATGAAAGAATTTGATATTCCGAAAAGGTAATCGTCGAGGAATGAGAGTTTGTTGAATTTAACCGTGTCGGCTTTTTCTTTCACAATCAAATCCTGTGTAAACAGAATGAATATATTTATAGAAAATTAGAACAGAAAAATGGAAATTTTCTAAAAAGTTTTCACTATAATTAGAAGAAGAAATATAAAAGTTTTCAGTATAATTAGGAAGAGAAACATTTTTTTTTGTTAAATTGTAACAAGAAATATTGCATTTCTTCAGTGTAGTTAAAAAAAAAATGCTTTTTTTCTTGCAGAATTTAGAAAATTAAAGTATTTTTTCCAGTATAAACAGGAAAGAAACATTAAAGAAGAATGAGATGAAGAAATAATAAGGTTTTCAGTACAATTTTATGAAAATTAGATGAAGATATTTCTGATTATGATTAAATTAGAATTGTTATATTTTTCAGTAAACTTGAAAGAAGAAACCTTAGCTTTTGTTAGTAAAATTTGAAAAAAAAAGTATCATAATTACTCCAATAATTGTGGTTTCTGAAGGCACGTAAGTTTTGATATTGGTCAAACAAAGGGACTTAATAAAATCATCCAAATTTTCACCATTAATTTGATTGACTGTAACATTTCCAGGAATATAAACGTTCTCAATATCTCCCAACTTTGGATAAACTCCATTCGCATTGATACTGAATGCATCCAAATAATTCTTATGAATTGGAAAACTGTTAATTTTATCAACTGATAACGTGTCGACAACATTCAATTGCTCAAAGCTTAAAGGATCTAAAACAGAAAATAATTACAATAATTTCAGTAGAAAAATTAAACAAACCTTTATAAAACGCTCCAGTCTTGATGATTTCATTCTCAAGAACCAAATTGTTGAGAGTAGAAGCATTCAACTTTCCAACAGTTACAGGATTCTCAAAGACAACATCTCCTTTGATACGAACCACGTCTTCAGTAAACGCGATTTTGGTTTTATCGATTCCATTGATTGAATCGAAACTGATGTTTTTGATTTCAGCGAATTGGAAAGTTTTCAAACTCGGTATGTGCTTCATATTATCTTTACTACAATTACCTCATATTATTTATCTAAAATCAAGTGATTTTTGTTATATCCTCACCTAACAATATCGCCAAATACATCGTCGACTAATCTTCCGTTAAATTTAACCGTTTTTATATCTTTAACGTTACTGCTTCCTTTAACTTCGACCAAATCGTTAACAACGAGATGTTTAAATTTGCGATCCTTCAAATTCGAACTTTCCATCCTTAATTTCATATCCGCCAAAACTTTCCTGATGTTCTGAACCCTCAGCTTCAATTCCTCGATGTAATCTTTGTTATCCCACATCACGTTTTGCTGTTGAACTATGTGGACTTCTTTAGCTGTTTCCACTTTAGGTTCTAGTTGTTCCTTAATCTTCGCTATTTCCTCCATCTGTCGCTTCAGATCTTTCTACAAAATTTGATTGATTAATCTAAGGAATTTGATGGATTTGATTGAATTACATCAAATTGTTGCTTCAACTCTTTCAGATGCGTTAAATCCATGGGGTCTGGGAGGTCACGAAAACTGGTGTGGATCATGAACAAACCAGAGGATGCGTTTTTCCTTGGGATCAAAATACCTAACAAATTCCCAACGTTAAGGATAGCCGAACCTTTGATACCCCAAGTGCTTTCCTCTTCGACCAAACAGTTCATCCCGTGCGTTTCTTCGCCGTAATAATTGCAAATCATCTCGTCGTGTATGGCGAATCTCCTTCCATTGTGGATCACAACGTCGATGGTATACGTTTTGTGTGAGCCGTGATCCAAGAACCTTTCAGCTAAAAGAATCTCTTCATCTTTGTACGTCTTCAAGGACATTGGTAACCAAAAGTCTACACCCTCGAAATGATCATCTTTGATCTTTTCCTGCACCAAACCAGATTTCGTGAATCTGTAGATGCCTGCGTTCCAACCATCAACGGCTAAATAAGCCCTAGAACCTATAGTGAACGAAGACACGTGCCTCACGTGTTTCACTTCCATAACACCGGAATTCGTGAAATTTCCATTGGTATAAATGAAGATTTGCACGTCGGTTTCTTGAGCCACGACGAGGAATGAATTGTAGCCGTACGTCACGAAAGCCGTACTCAATATTGGATTATTTAATTTAATAACTTGAATCAACCTAAATTGATTAATTAATTTAAGAAATAATGATTTAATTCAAATGGAACGCACCAATAATTTGTTGGACGTCGTAAAGAAAACTCGTAAATTGCTAAACTTTTCTCATCTCCCAATACATCACCAATGAGAAGAAGATGTTTCGATTTAGTTTTGATCACTTTGCTGTATGTTACGTTTTTATTCAAATTTAAGGATAAGATTTTTTCCTAAACGCACAATTTTTTTTACTTTAAATGTTTGTAATTTGTTAGTATACTTACAAATTGATTCTCTTTAGTTACGTCGTACCAATTTAAATCAACGGAAACATTTGTGGATGATTTTTGATTGGATGTAAGGACCAGAGCGATGAGACTCGTCTGTTTTTCATCTTTGCTCGAATATAGAAACAAGTCGGCGTCCAAAACAATTGAATCCAAAGCTGCAATGTAAAGAAAAAAAATCATCAAATATTCAAATTTCTATATTTAAAACGAATCTGAATATTGAAAATTAGATAATTCACAAGAAAAAATAATATAAATTTCCAAATTGAATTGTAAAAATTAATAATATTTTTGGAAAATAAATTGATAAATATTTTTGTCACAATCAAAGTTGTCATTGCTTTTCTACAAAGATAACTTACTGAAATAAAAAAAAAACAATTGAAAAAGCCTCGGTTTACGAACAAAATGTGCAATCATAGAAGCTTTGAGATTTCATTCATTTTACGTTAACTTTTATGGGGAAAATATTCTCGTTTTTTTTGTTAACAGTTCAGTTTTCAAAGAGATTTAAACCATTTTTTTATCAAATCTACATCTTTTTAATTCTCTTGGGTCAGAAAGAAAGTGTTTTCGGTTATTTGTTACGAAATAAAATTCATTTCTTTATATAGAAAGAATGAATGCTTTGTTATTGGATTGGGTCCTTTCTGATAGTGCAGAGGGATGGAATTTTGATCATTCCTCTTTCCTTGAAGACTAATATCAGCTAATACTCTCTTCAAATCTTCGAGAATCATATCCAAATTGAATTGACCTTTATCCAATACGTTCTTCGGTTTTTGCGCGCTGATGGCTTTCTACAATCAGTGACTGTTCTTTCCACCGAGTCCGAATTTTGCTAAAAACTCAACCATTCCATCATCACTACTTTCCATCGTCAATTCGAGTAAAGGTAAATCAAGTATGTGATGTATGTGCAATCATAGAAGCTTCAAGATTTAATTCATTTTACGTTAACTTTTATGGGGAAAATATTCTCGTTTTTTTTGTTAACAGTTCAGTTTTCAAACAGATTTGAACCATTTTTTAACAAATCTACATCTTTTTAATTCTCTTGGGTCAGAAAGAAAATGATTTCGGTTATTTATTACGAAATAAAATTCATTTCTTTATATACAAAGAATGAATGCTTTGTTGCCTTTTGTACTCGTTTTTATCCACGCTGGTATAGAAATCTATGGGATTGGGTCCTTTCTGATGGTCCAGATCATTCCTCTTTCCTTGAATATTGGCTGATTGACCTTCTGGTGTCTTCATGATTTCGCGATCATAGAACTTCTGGTGATCTTTGTATCAGCTAAAAACTGAACTTATATGCACTTATACTTAGTAAAAGAAAGTTTTGAAAACTTCGAAATAAATGGAAATCTGATGGTACAAGGTCAGAGCTATATGAATAATGTGATAGTAAACATTTGAATTGATCGATTGGTTCCTTGGATGCAGCTCAAAATACACAACAACACCTTTGCAATCACACCAAATTGATAGCATGATCTTGATTGATGCAATTCAGCTTTCAATTTGGTTTATACTGGTTCATCACGCTTGGATCATGATAATTTTCAATTGATGTTATCGTAGATGATCCATTTTTCATTACTAGTGATGATTTGTTAAAAAAAAGTATACAATTTCATTGCGTTTTAGATGGATATTGCAAATATTGATTCGTTTCCAATTCATGCAAATATCGAGATTCTTAATGAGTCCAAGACATTTAAGTGAATTTCAGTTCTTGTAATACATTTATACATAGTTATATGACGATCCAATTCAATTAAGATTTTGATTTGGTCATCACAAACTTCAGTAGGTCGACAAGAATGTGTGTGTTCTTTGAGTGAAAAATCTTCAAAACGAACGATTTCAAACCATTTCTATTAAACAATCAACATCATAAACTTTACATATCTTTTTGTAAGTCTTAGCAACTTTCGTGTCTTTACAGAAATAAAACAGTAAAATATGTCGAAAATGTTCGTTTTTGCATTCCTGTTAAAATTGATAATAAACCAAATGACAAAATCATAACATTGACACAAGTCAAAAATGACGCCATCTATTTGTGAAAACCGAAATTACTTTCTTTCCAACCCAATAAATATTTCTAACTAATTCTTAGAAAATATTTATGCAAATTATAAGGAAATTCTAGACATATTTCGTTTGTAACGAGTTGAACTAATTTCCTGTACGACCAACGCACAGGCATTTCACATTGACAACCATCTAATTGGCAGTTGCTTAGCGATTGCGTTACTAGGAAACGGAAAACAAGAAACAAATTTGGAACGACGTCGGTATCAAAGACGACTGTGACATAATCGGACGTAATTGAAACCCGAAATTATTACACAACAATGGATAGTATAGTTGACTTGACTTTCCCGCTATTAATTAATACGCAACAACGATTGCGTATCCGAAATTGATGTTTCAGTTATTAGACAACTCACCGTGATGGTTTTCTGCGATGTCGAAACGTTCATTTTCGGTACTGTTCAATGTCGCCTTCAGCACTGCAATCCCGGTGTTTGTAATACCTAAAGCGTAGCTTCGGCGTTTCCACGAAATACTCTTCCACTTCAAGACGGACTCAGCAGTTTTGAATCCGTCGACGGCGTTCACACGATCGATGATCAATTCTAGAAGATTTTTAGATTTTTAGAAAATATTGTTGTTTCCTTGAAAATATAGTTTACCTTCTCTGCTTTCGTCCGCATTCTCAAATTGATACGTATACCAAGGGTCTTCATCTGCGGCAATTGAAGCGCTCACACACAATAGTAAATAGAAGACGAACATCGTTCATCCGTTCGAAAAGCATACGAAACATTATTTTTACAATTCACTTTTAAACTAATCTTTACACACATTTTTTTTTCAAATACATTTAAAAAAAACTTGTTTATTTGAGTTTTGAAAAAGTTCTCAAACTTTTTCTTCAGTCAAACTATAAAAATTTGTTACAAAAAATATATTTTTAATTATATTATTAAAATTAGTATAATATTATAGTTAAAATATTCATTATTACTAACAAACTTTGATTAAATATAAATAAATTATTACATTTTGTAAAAATTGTAATTTTCTAAATAATTTTCTGATAATTTAACTTTATAATTTGTTGAAAAAAGTTTTAATATTTACCATTCAATTTGATATATTTATGCATGTAAGAAATTAAACGGTAATAACTTTCGTTAGAAATCTAAGAAAATTATTCGGAAAACAAGTTATTTAAACTTTGTGCTACTTTCTTAAGTCTGTTTACTTGAAAAATAAAATTAAGAAGAGAAAAAAAACAAGAATTTATAAACTAGTTCTGAAAGTGTATGTATACGTATGATGTGTAATCGAAATTGCATAAGTCTTGATTAAATAAAGTGATTATAACAACAATTTCCAAACCCAAATAAATATTATTTTTTTTACATTTTGTTCAAAGTTTAAACAAAAATTTGATTAAAATATTCTTAAAAGTTTGATTTGATATTTGATACAAATAAATTCTTAAATTTTATTTAAAATAAAAACAAGTTTTTACTTACTAGAGCAAATAATTATATAATTGTGAAATTTTTAAGTTCAAATTTAGATTTTTTTATTTTCATTATCTAAGATTTGTTTAAAACAAGTTTAATTTGAACAATTCCACAAAAAAAAACTAAATATTAAATAATTTTTTAAAAGATTTTTTTCTAAAATTTTTAAATAATGATACAAAAACTAAAAATACCTTGAATGTATACAAATAACTTTCTTCTGAGTTAATAAATGTAATTTTTGGGTCAGAAAACATGGTTTAAATTTAAAAAAACTTAATATTTTGATCAAAAAATATTTTGATTGTATACAATTTTTTCTGTATTTGAAGTTTAAAAAATCTAATTTTGAGTAAAAAAAAGTAAGTAAACTATGTTTGAAATTATATGAATCAAATTTTGTTAAACATGATTTTTATAGCTTCTTTTCCTAATGCTAATATTTGCATTAACCAATTAGCACGTCCTGCATCCGAACCGTTGGTAAGTTCGAGGTCTCGTAACCATTCCAAAACCTACTTAATATTCCGTTAATTGATGCAGACACGTTTTTTTTTTCTTTTTAAACTGAAGAAAAACCGTTTTTTTATTCACTTAATTTTCTCCTCCTCGCTTTTTCCTCCTAATCAACGAAAACCGTATAATTAAGGTTACATATAAATAACAAAAATATAGTAAAAAAATAATAAATTTAATGATCGATACAATACCAATAAATAATAATTTTAAAACTAGCACAAATTCTGCTCATTTTTTTAATACAATAAATAAATACGTTTATTTTCGTTTTAATTTACGCGCAAATTTACTAAATAAAATGCGTTTTTTTTTTGTATATATACAGTATAAATCCCTTTTGTTTAGAAACCACAACCTGCTTAGATTTTTGGTAATTTACGGGACGGAGACGGAGAGGAATCGCTTCGGATCTCCTATTGTCGGTTGGAAACGTAAATTGACGCGTTTTCCTTTTTGATTGTCGATGTCCAGGAAAGTGTTCCAATCCACTAGGTAGTAGAAACCGGTCCTTTTGGGAGCCTCCGTCGTTACATCTACAGTTTCCTTGACGACGTCCGAAGATCCTCCGAAGGAATCTTCCAGATCTTTCATCGAACCGTTTTGTGGCTCTGCTGGTTTTTCTGTTGTTGTTGTGCTTTGTTGCCTTTTGTACTCGTTTTTATCGACGCTGCTATCGAAATCTATGGGATTGGGTCCTTTCTGATGGTGCAAAGGGATGGACTTTTGATCATTCCTCTTTCCTTGAATACCGATATCAGCTAATACTCCCTTCAGATGGTCGGGAATCATGTCCAAATTGAATTGACCTTTATCCAATTCGTTCTTCGGTTTTTGCGCGCTGATGGCTTTCTGCGATCGTTGACTGTTCTTTCCACCGAGCCCGAATTTCGCTAAAAACTCGTCCATTCCATCGTCACTACTTCCCATCGTCGATTCGGGTAAAGGTTTGAAACTTACGTACGAATTCGGGTTAATATCTAAGCTTGCAGATTGAAAAGGTTTCGTTTGTACTGAAGGCACTTTTTTCTTATTCAAATCTGGGATCAAACCGAAATTCATCAATAGCTCTTTCATGTCTGGTGATAAGTTATTAGCGACGTTCTGCAAATCGGCGTTAGCTGTTGTCGTTTCCACGTAAGGTGGATTTGTGGGTAACGGACTCAAAGCCTCGTACTGAGCGCTGTATTCCGGGTTTTCCTTAATGAGCGTGTCCAGATTCTTCAAAACGTTCTTGAAATCTTCCGGTAATTGCATCGTGTCGACCAGAGCCGGAGACGCGACCGGTTTCTTGTTTATCAGCTTCGCCGCTTCCGGGATCAAAGTGGGAGCTGTGATTATGTTCAATCCTTGATTCGAGATGGGTTTCTGGGTCGTCGTTTTCGTCCTGTAAACGTACTCAGGACGAGTCGCCGGTTTTTGTGTCGTCGATTTAACCCTGTACGGTCTTTTGGTGGACGATTGCGCGAAGATTTTATCCTCATCTGGGTATTTATGGTTCGGATGACGCTCAAATTTCTTCGTGGTTTCAGGAGCTTCCGTCACGTAAACTATCTTAGTTGATGATTCCGGTTTCCTAGTAACGTATTTTGTTGTTGTTTCCGTGGTTACAGGAAGCAGTTTAGTTGTTTTGACGGTTTGGAGCGGCGTTTTCGGCGCCTTCTTTTTCTTCGATTTCTCTTCGCCGCTGTCACCGATGATGTGCGTCACCGGTGGTTTCGTGTACAGATCCTGCATGTCTTCGTTACGTTCGCTGTCCGGTGAATACGGCATCACCACCATAATAGACTTTTGATCTCTGCTCCCCAAATCGCTTTCCTCTTTGGTGATGTTATCCAAAATCTCCAAGATTTCGCCGCGCGTCAGTCGCGGCAAAGACGGATCGGCTTGGATCAGATCTTCCACCTCTTTCACAGTATCCTCGTAGTGGACATCCGAAGATCCAGCGGGCAACGAGAGCGACGGCTGAAGCGAACACGCAATTACGAGAATCGCGTGCAGGAACTGTAAAAGGCGGTGGAAAAAAAAACACACAGTTAATAAACAATTATTTAACAGTTTCTTCTTGTAATTTAAACGCATCTCGCATTGTAGAATACATGCATGCTACGACTTTCTAATTTCACTTTCTCCGGAGTTTTCATTCAAACAAAATGAAATTTCAAAGGAAAAATCACATTTTCAATAAATCGTTTTAAATTCCGTAATTCGACACACTTCGAGTGCGAAAACTGTGTACCTGTTTGCTTAACGGTTAATGTTTATGATTGGGAAACAACAATCCATTATCATTACTTGTCTTTGTGCCATTCCTTATGCAAAATACTTTAGAAAGTGCGGTTCAATCAGTTGCGTAAAGCAATCTCGTGCGAAGGTCAAACATTAAACGAAACTCACCGCAGCTTTTCGAAAATAATCCATCATCCTCTTTCCTCGATTTAAGTTTACTTCTTTATTTTATCTCGTGATTCTCACTTTTCACAGTTTTTCTTTTCAATAAATGTTCACTCTTTCTTTCTCAGAACTTCATTCCACGCAAGAAAGAAACTTCTTGGCTACTGGTAAACGCGAGGTCGAACCGCGATTGACGACTGGTTGGTTTCTTTATGCTTTCGGTATCTTTCTTTCGCCTCCCTCCACTTCTTCTTTTTTTTTGTACGAAGAAGACGATGTCAAGATCAAACCAACTTAAATTTAAATACCTAATTATATTTTACACCTTGAAAACACCAGCTAATTAGAAATTTCACAACAAGTTTTTTTTCTCTTCTACACACATGCAGTTATTAGTTGTTGTTTTTAGTTGCATTTCACTAAAGGATATCAATTATATTAAATTAAATGAAAATACAATCGTCATTGTTACGTGTTATTACATAAACTAATTGTTTGTTAAATATTACTTAAGTGACAATTAATTACTGCTTTTTAAGTATCGAGAATTAGTGTCTTTACGTTTCAACGTATTTCCCGTAAACTATTCACTGTAGGAAGAATATAAAATATGTATTTTATTGCTAAAATTATGAGCTTTAATGTGACTATAATTGTGTAATTGAGATTCTTATCTATATGATGTAATTTACTTTCAAACTTTAATAACTCTTTTCTTAAGAATGTACATATTTTATGGAATTTCTCACAAACTATTCACACTAGGAAAAATGTTAGATATGCATTTTAAACCTAAAACTATAAGATTTTATAAGAATATCAATTCATAATGATTGTACTTTTTTATTGTATATTTTTGCATATTAATCAATGAAAGTTTTGATAATATAATTTATTAAATTTCTCAAAGAAAAAAGCATACAAGTGAGAATGTAAAACATGCTTTTAAAAGCTAAAACTATGCAGTTTAATATGGTTATAATGTCTTAATTGTCGTAATTACCATTTTCGTGTAATTCGACATCTAAATAAAAAAATGCTTTTATCTAGCTTCAAAAAACTAGTGTCTACTTTTTTCAATGTTTCAAAGAAACTATTTACATTAGAAAGAACGTTGTATATCCAATTTAAAGCTAAAATTATTGGCTTTAATATGAATTAATATCTTAATTGTTGTTTGCACCATTTTGTGTATAATTCGTTACCAAAATTGAAAAAAATTGAGGATCTAAAACACAGTGTGTTTACCTTTTAACTTATTTCTCAATAACGATTCGCACTTGAAAGAAAGTAAAATATGCATAATAAACCTTAAGCTATTAACTTTAATATGAAAGCAATAATTTAATTCTAGTACTTACCATTTTCTTCTAATTTATTGTCAAAAAAAACTTTTTAAAGTAATATTGTCTTTACATTTGAATCTATTTTTCTGGAACCATTCACACACTACATAAAAAATGCAATATGCATTTTAAAACTAAAACTATGAACTTTAATATGACTATAATAAATAATCGATGATACTCATGATTTTCATATAATTCTCTATAAAATCTGATAAAACTATTTTTTAATTATTATAAAGTAATAATAGTAAAGAAAAAAACTCTTAACAATTGAAATAGCTTATTTTTGTGAATATACTTTTTCTCAGTGAAAGTAGTTAATGTAAGAACTACTATTATTATATTAATGTTGGATATAATTAGAAAGGAAGAGGAAAGAATTATAACTAATTTTGATGTATCACAATAAGAAAGTGATGGGAAGAAAACAATTTCTTTATAAGTACTGGAATCCTCTGGAATCTTTTGTATATTTTTTTTAAATTTACTTGTCCACTAACACTGTTTAATAGCTCAAATATCTAGTAATTGTAGAGTCGAGTTTGGACATTTAAAATATTAACAAAAAAATATGTATTATTAAATTAGAATTCTAATATTTTTTCATGAATAAGTTCGCATTCAAATATATTTTCCGCACTGTCTAAAACACGACGAATCAGAGCTGATTTGTACTTTTAAATAGTTCTTATTGGGCGTTTCGCACCCTAGATAAAACAGTAATAAAAATAAGGCAATTGTTTACACAAATCGAATGTAATTCGATAGCAAAGTTGAAAACATATATTTACGTTTTAAGGTATTTGTCAAAAACTACTCATACTAGATGAAACATAAAATATGCATTTTAAAGCTAAAACTATAAGCTCTAATATGACTATAATTGCGTTATTGTGATTCCTATCATTATTATGTAATTTAATATCAAAATTGAAAAACTCTTTTTTTTAAATATACAAATTTTATAGAATTTCTGATAAACTCTTCACACTAGAATGAACGTAAGATATGTATTTTAAAGCTAAAACTATAGGATTTTACGTGAATATAATCTTATAATTATTCGTATATTATTCAATGAAAGTTTTGATAAAAAAAATGATCAAGTGTGAAAATAAAACGAGTGAATTAAATGGTGAAGAAAACACGAATATCCACGAATCGAAACAGCTGCAGCAGCGAATCTCAAATTTTAGTACACTGATTTTCAAACCGGTGTCATAAGATTATGAACCAAAATCTATCCAGGATTAAATAAATAATACAACAACAAAAAATGTATAACAAAATAGTCCAATTAATAATTTATTTTTATTTAAATCACAATTTTAATCAATTAGCCTTTACATTTGTGTATACACTGAATGGGACAAGTACTTTGTAGTTTCTTGGTTGAACAATATCAGATTTTTCTTTTCTTCTAAATTTTAACAGTACAAAAGTGTCAACAATCCTCAATTCATTGGACTGTCCAAGAAAACAAAATAAAACAAAAATAAGCAGATCCGTGTGTAAGCGAGTTAATTAACAACAAAATGAGACGTTTAGATTTGATCTAATAGCAAGTCAGGATAATTGCTGCAAGCAATTAATTAGAGTGTGCAATGGGAAAAACAAAGGAAATTCGGGGATTTTGTAGATCTAGGAACATGGGCTTTCAGAGTTGACGTTTTTCTCCCCCAAAATATTCTTAAACTATGCAATCCAGTCTTATGGGAATTACTAATTAGCAGAGCACGTCAATCTGAACGTATGATAACTTTTAGTTTCGTTATCGTTGTTGGTGAGGAAGCTTGGGTACATTTTGAATGCGTTTCAAACAACAACAACAATAAAAAAAACATAAATTATTAACAATAAATTAAGTAGATCCGCATGAAAGGTAGGACAAGGCAAGTAAATAATATGCAGGTAGTTCTCAGTTTACGAAAGTTGTGCGCAAGTGATATTAATATTAAAACAATGCGAAGAAATTTCTACTTTACGACAACAACAAAAAAAAATATTTTCGTATGAATTAAAGTCTAAAGTCTAATTTATTGTACATTCGTATATACATAAGTGTGCGTTACTTAAATAAGAGAAAAAATAAACTTAAATAGTAATTACTGATTACTAATAGCTACGTGTAATACTGAAGTTACAAAACAAACAAAACAAAAAAAAAAATAGGCAGCGAAGGTAGTAGTCATGATCATGATTCTTATTAACTAATATAATAAATTATGTACATATTTGTTCGTTGTACTAAGTAACTGAATATCGGAGATACAACTGCAATGGGATATGGCAAGTATGATTGTGCTTTGTTGTGCTTGAAGTGCTGAAGAGATCTTGGATGTTGTTTGCATTCTTTGGATCTCGATCGACATCTTCACCACATCTTCTTTTACTCTCTCTCTCACACTCTATCTCTCTCAGTCTCAGACGAAGTTCTCTCCGGACGAACCGTCGACGGCGTGTTTTCGCCTTTTGCTCTTGTGCTTAGCCTTGATCATCATCGTCTGCTCCTGAGGTTGCTGATTCTGCTGTGGCTGTTGTTGTTGCTGTTGCTGTTGCTGCTGTGACGGCTGCTGGTCCTGACCATCCGCGCTTGCCGACGACGTGCAGTTGTTGTTTTGAGAAGACAAACACGACATTTCTATCATGTTTTGACTCTGGAAAAAATCCGAGCTAGAATATTCTGGAAATAAGACCAAATAAACCTAGTTTTAGTCGAGTGTTATAGGAAGTGATTACAAAGAGATTACAAACAACAAAAAACTACTAAGCGGCTCCCAAAACAAAAACAAAAAAACAATAAGCGAAACAAACGACAGCGAATTAGTAGTTAGTTTTTTTAGGTAAGCGAAGAGTAAGCGTGGTTTTTATATGCGTTACATAAAAATGCGGGCGGCGGTTTTAATTTAATTTAATTAAACTTAATTTTGTTTAATTTCTTTCTCCTTTTTTTTGTGTGTGTTTATATCATTAATATTCGTCAAAAAAAACGTGATTATAATTATTGTAATAAACGCATGCATAAACGTACTTGATTTGATTTGTTTTTTACCATTAAATTACATCATCGACTTTCCGCTTTTTAAGCATTCTCTTACTTTTTTTTTTACTAGAAATTTTACAAAAAAAAACACAATAATCCATCACTACTTTTACAGAAACAAAGCTACTGAAGATTTGTAAATATTCTGAACAAGCATTTGCATTTCATTCAATTCTGAAAATAATAATACTACTACTAATTTGCGCATTCCATCTTTTGTTCAAAGCATTCAGAGAACAAAGCAAATACTACTAATAAGTTACATACATCGAATATTGATGTTTCGAAAATAAGAACAAGATTTAAGAGGAAATAATAACAATTAATAATAAAACATTGAGAATAAACAAACAAAAAACCTAGAATTAAAATACAATTCATTTGAAATAGAAAACTGTAGCTATACTTTCCAAGTAATTTGTAAAATAATGCGTTGAGCACTTCCTGTGGTACTTGCTGAGTATTGGTAGAAGATTGAAAAACCTTCTGTTGTAAAAATTTTAAAGAAAATACTTGAAAATGTCAAAATATTAATAGTAATAGTGTTGACTTATACTTTTCAAGTAATTTGTCAAGTATAGAGTATTGTGTTCTTCATGATTAATACTTATTGTTTCAATTCCATACTTTCCAAGTGATTTGTCAAGTAATGCATATTCTGTATTTGTTGAGTACTTGACAAACGCAGGTTGTAAAATTTCAAGAAAAAAAATACTTCAAAATATTCAAAATTTTGATGTGTTTGAATTCTGTACTTTTATGTAGTACTTTAAAATTGAAAACTGTAGCTATACTTTCCAAGTAACTTGTCAAATATTGCGTTGAGCACTTCCTGTGATACTTGCTCAGTATTGGTAGAAGCTTGAAAAACTTCTGTTGTAAAAATTTTATAGAAAATACTTGAAAATATTAATAGTAATAGTGTTGACTTATACTTTTCAAGTAATTTGTCAAGTATAGAGTATTGTGTTCTTCATGATTAATACTTATTGTTTCAATTCCATACTTTCCAAGTGATTTGTCAAGTAATGCATATTCTGTATTTGTTGAGTACTTGACAAACGTAGGTTGTAAAATTTCAAGTTGTCAAATTTAAGACAAGATGTACAAAATGTTGAAGTAGTTATGAACAAAAATTGAATGCGCAATTGAGTCTAGACAGTTTTTTCTTTCTTATTGAACCCTAGAAGTATGAGGAAGACCGAAATGCAAATGCCTTAAACTGTTCTTGGCGTTTGTAGTTACCTTGTTATCAGCGTCCGCTAAAGGATTCGCTGTTATTGTGATCCTATTCGGGCCGCATCCATTGTTCTTCGAGTTCTTCTGCGTCACCACGTACTCGTTCGCTTCGGCCTGAATGTGATGGCTTATTTCGTCGGCGGAGGATTTATTCGTCCTCTCCCCTAATTGAAATATAAAACTTAATACTTCCATCAACTAAGAAATTTAAACATTTAAAATTACCTCGAGCGTTGACCGCCTCTTTGCTCTGCTTCCATTTCGTGCAGATTATCAAAGGTACGACTACGCTTAACAAAACAGTCACCACGAGTACTCCAACCCCGATGAATATGTAGAGTTGAGAATCTGAAGCGGATTCGTCGGTGGATTTGCTCTTCACCGTCGTCGTCAGTGGAGATTCTGTGGCTAATTCTGAAAGAAAAAAATATCATTAATCGTGTTGATTTTGCAAAGATGTTGATGTTATATTACTGTCAGTCTTTTGCTTCAGGATGGGGCTAAATAGTCCAGCCATCTTCGAGTTGAAGCTCTGCAATTTGATGTCGTAGACGGTGTCCGGTATTAGATGAGTTATGATGTAAGTGTTAGTTTTTTCGTCTTCGACTGTGGCCTTCATGTAATCTCCGGCGCTGCTCGCAGACATGTAATTAACGTAGAAACCATCGACGGTTATATTCGGGAAAGGCGTGTACTGGAAATTAAAAAAAACAGTTCAATTTGTATCGTTTGCAGGATGATAATCAACTAATTGCATTTACCTCCCAGAATATTCTGATTGAAGTAGTATTTATGGTTTCTGTGTGCTTCAGGATTGGAATAGGTAGCGGATTGTTCGTGGAGAAATCCGCTCTGATTAGATGAAACTTATCGCTGATCGGGCTCAACTTGTTGTCGTTGTTGCTGTAGACCGCCGCTATTCTAAACTTGTAAGTGTGTTCGGGCTTAAGATTATTGACTTCGTAGCTGCGTATGTTCGGGGCTATATCGTTGTTGGTCGTCTTCCATTTGGATCTCTTCCCCGGTCCCAATTCTTTGTACTGGACTTTGAAGAACTGGATGGGAAGACCGTCGTTCGTCGGCACGAACCATCGCACCACCACCGACTCATCGTTCAACCTGGAGATTATCGGTCTACCAGGTGGGATCATCTCCGCTGTTCCTTTGTGCTTCAATTTCTTGTTGTTCTTCCCGCGCTTGTGATTGGGAACGACCGGAGCAACGACTACATCTTCGACGGCGTTAGCGCTCGATATCTGCTTGGGGATCACTTCCAGATCGGCGCTACTGTAAGTCGTTCCGTACATGTTCGTGGCGAAGCACTGGATGATTCCGGCGTGCCGTTTCTCGAACGGAACAAAGTACAGGATGTTCTCTACAGCTTCGATGTTCTTGTCGCCTAGGACGTTCTGGCCGTTCAGGAACCAGGTGATCCTCGGTTGAGGTACACCTCTGGCCGTGCATTCGAGCTCGAGGTTTTCGCCTTCCTTGGCGTGAGTGCTTTTCGGGCCGTGGATGATGGTCGGCTCTTCGTTGTACATCGCGGTGATCAGATGAGTGGCGGATCCTTTGTAATTCGAGTATTTGCAGATGTACACGCCGTCGTCTTCTGGCACCACGTCGACGATCCGCAGACCGCCTGCCACGAACTCGGTGCGATTCTTTGGTAAAATCCCGTTTTTCTTCTCCCAAGATACCGTCGGTACCGGCGTCCCCACCGCACCGCATTCCAAAAACAACGTTTGACCTACAATCCAAAACACACAAACCTTTAATTACACAATCATTAAAACACTTCAATCATCAATTATGAACAATTTACATAGAATTAAACATCAATTTATACAGCTTCATTGAAATCTACACTAAGAAACGATGTTCTAGAACAGTGCTTCTTAACCTTTTTGTATTCACGGCCACTTTAAAATATGTATCAAAAATTGTACCAAACTTTTTATTCTTCAACATGAGTTGATGATAAATTGATATTATCCAAGGTACGAATGTTCTAATTGATAACATTTTATATTTTATACATATGGAATGTAGAGTAGAAATTGTAAGCCTAGACTTATATAAACTTTTTCAAAATATTCAAAATTTTGATGTGTTTGAATTCTTTACTTTTATGTAGTACTTTAAAATTGAAAACTGTAGCTATACTTTCCAAGTAACTTGTCAAATATTGCGTTGCGTACTTCCTGTGATACTTGCTGAGTATTGGTAGAAGATTGAAAAACTTCTGTTGTAAAAATTTTAAAGAAAATACTTGAAGTGAATGAAAATGTCAAAATATTAATAGTAATAGTTTTGACTTATACTTTTCAAGTAGTTTGTCAAGTATAGAGTATTGTGTTCTTCATGATTAATACTTATTGTTTCAATTCCATACTTTCCAAGTGATTTGTCAATTAATGCATATTCTGTATTTGCTGAGTACTTGACAAACGCAGGTTGTAAAATTTCAAGAAAAAAAATACTTCAAAATATTCAAAATTTTGATGTGTTTGAATTCTGTACTTTTATGTAGTACTTTAAAATTTAAAACTGTAGCTATACTTTCCAAGTAACTTGTCAAATATTGCGTTGCGTACTTTCTGTGGTACTTGCTGAGTATTGGTAGAAGATTGAAAAACTTATGTTGTAAAAATTTTAAAGAAAATACTTGAAGTGAATGAAAATGTCAAAATATTAATAGTAATAGTTTTGACTTATAGTTTTCAAGTAATTTGCCAAGTATAAAGTATTATGTTCTTCATGATTAATACTTATTGTTTCAATTCCATACTTTCCAAATGATTTGTCAAGTAATGCATATACTGTATTTGTTGAGTACTTGACAAACGCAGGTTGTAAAATTTCAAGAAAAAAAATACTTCAAAATATTCAAAATTTTGATGTGTTTGAATTCTTTACTTTTATGTAGTACTTTAAAATTGAAAACTGTAGCTATACTTTCCAAGTAACTTGGCAAATATTGCGTTGCGTACTTCCTATGGTACTTGCTGAGTATTGGTAGAAGATTGAAAAACTTCTGTTGTAAAAATTTTAAAGAAAATACTTGAAGTGAATGAAAATGTCAAAATATTAATAGTAATAGTTTTGACTTATACTTTTCAAGTAATTTGTCAAGTATAGAGTATTGTGTTCTTCATGATTAATACTTATTGTTGCAATTCCATACTTTTCAAGTGATTTGTCATATTCTGTATTTGTTGAGTACTTGACAAACGCAGGTTGTAAAATTTCAGGAAAAAAAAATACTTCAAAATATTCAAAATTTTGAAAACTGTAGATATACTTTCCAAGTAACTTGTCAAATATTCCGTTGCGTACTTCCTGTTGTACTTGCTGAGTATTGGTAGATGATTGAAAAACTTCTGTTGTAAAAATTTTAAAGAAAATACTTGAAGTGAATGAAAATGTCAAAATATTAATAGTAATAGTGTTGACTTATACTTTTCAAGTAATTTGTCAAGTATAGAGTATTGTGTTCTTCATGATTAATACTTATTGTTTCAATTCCATACTTTCCAAGTGATTTGTCAAGTAATGCATATACTGTATTTGTTGAGTACTTGACAAACGTAGGTTGTAAAATTTCAGAAAAAAATGTGTTTGAATTCTATACTTTCATGTAGTACTTCTTCAAGTTGTCAACTTTAAGACAAGATGTACAAAATGTTGAAGTAGTTATGAACAAAAATTGAATACCAAACTTTTTTCTTCAACATGAGTTAATGATAAATTGATATTATCCAAGGTACGAGTATTATAATTAATAAAATTTTACATTTTAAACATATTGAATGGAGAGTAGAAATTGTAAGCCTAGACTTATATAAACTTTTTTGATTTGTAAATCACCTAGAATAGTTGTACTAGAATATTGTTTAAATGAAATATGTTGATTGAAATTTGATTGCATTAAAATTACCTTTCTGAAGAATGTAGATGGATTGTGGTTGGACTATGAATCTGGGCTTCTCAGCTTGCATGTGCGCCTTTACTGTGATATTGAGATTACCGCTTGAAGTGACCTTCGAGGAAGGATTCAGACTGTTCATCGCTTGACACTTGTACAATCCGGATTGATCTTCGGCGATGTTCTGGAGAACGAGCGAGGATCCCTGCGAATTGGGGCACGGTTTATCCTTGTAATAATAGTCGACGTAGGCCGCAGGATTCGAATAGGGCGGATCGCATTTCCACACCACGGTGTTCCCAGAAGAGACGACCGCATGAGTGGTATGCTGCACCGGGAAATTCCGAAGAGTCGTAAGCGTTATCCGATCCGGAACCGAAGCGACGACGGAAGCACCGTAATGCGCCAGGCATTGGTAATCCCCGGCCGAAGAGGAATTGGTCAACTTTATCGTCAGAGTCGATTTCTTCTTGTCGTTGGTGAACCGCTTCGGAGGCAGCTCCACGTAATCCCTGGTCAGATTCAGAAGAGCGTTCGGATTCGACACCTGAGACTCGTCCAGTTTGTAGAACCTCCACTCGAATTTGTCGGGAACGATGTTCATCTCGCATATCAGGATCGTCTCGTCGTTCAGCGGAAGAGCTATGGAAGTCGGGGACGAAATCTTATGGATGCGTCCCACTTCTGCAAAGAACAACAACAATGAGAACACTTCATGAAGATAACATCATCATTTAACAGTACCTGAGGCGACGCTCGTAATGGATCCAAGAACGTGCACGAGCGCTGCGTAGAAACTGATTACCTCGAACCACCCCATCGCACTTCAAACATCCCTGCGAACAAAGAAAGAAAATTAGAATCTCACTTGAAGTTTGGTAAAGCGATACCGCAAGTGGGCCACACGCGCTGCATTCAGTTTCACCCCATTTTTCTTGTAATACATATTTAGTAAATCTTGAATCATTGATACAGAGGAGAACTCGTGGGATGAAGAGATTCTTTACAGCCCCACAACCATCTCAAATCTCAAACATTTTCGAAGATTATGGCTGAAATATAGCAATAATGAAATGATCTATAATCTACATACAACTCCTCTTCCCGGTTTCTTGATGATCCTAAGGGTTAATTAACTAGATAGTTTCATTTATTATAAAAGATACTGTCGGGATTTTGATCCAAACCGTTCTCTGCATTAACCAGAGCAGTGAAAGAGTTTTTCGAGTGAAGGAATTTTATCTTGAGAGAGTCGAGGGGGGGTCGAGTCAGCAGCAGCTCTCGTCGGGCGGTCACAGGCCCTGGATTGTTGTTGTCCGACCGGTGAAATGCGGAGAGTTGGGTTATAGGAATGTGCATGCACCTTCGTCGTGAAGTAAGAAAGGCCGACGCGAAATGCCAATGACTAATAATTCCGTAATTTCGACACAACAACTACCGCATCGAGCGGCGGTTGCGACTGATCTTGAGCGCGTACAGTTCTTAGGAAGTGGATCGAAAGAAGATGAAGAAGAAGCAGAGTATACAAAAAAATAAACGAATGGAATGCGCGTATTGATGATGCACATAGTAATGTGGACTACTTTCGTGTGGACGCAAATCGCTTGCAAAGCTTTCAATTAAATCCTGCGACTCGAAACGTTCCTCTCTCCATCCGCACTGATTTCATCGCGCTTATTTCATTCATTTTTATTTATTTTCGTTTTTGCTCTCTAACTAGATTTCAATCATTTACATTCCATTCCAGTCACAATTTAAACTAAGAATATCGTATAAAAATAAACTACAAATAAAAGACACTTGTCTATAGAAATAGATAATTTATGTTTGATTTGTTTTGAAAATTTCGGACTGTTCGAAGCCGCACTGTGCGAGGTATTACTGTATATCAATGATTAATACTTTATTAATTGAATTGAAAACAAAATATAAATAAAATTATGGTTTTTGTGACCAAATATTTTCAAATAAAGATTCTGTGAAATTTTGAAGAAAATTCTAATTTATCACCAAAAAAGATATAAATTCATTCATTTCTTTCGAAAATTATAGAAAAATAATGATTTTTGTAATTTCCAATGATAATTGTTAAAATATAATTTAGAATGATGAATATACTAATTATTTAATACATTGTATCATAAATAACTAAAAAAAATATTAAAAATCTTTAATTTTGAGAAATTTTACAAAGTATCACAAAAGAAACGTTACTATTTCATTTGTTCTGTATTTCATTGATGTTGATGTTATGTAATTTTTTATTTGATACACTTGTAGTAAGAACCATCAAGTTTTATTATACAATAATTTAAATACGTAAAACAATAGTTTCGTTATAAATAAAAAAACTTTAATTTTGAGATATTTTACAAAGTGTCACAAAAGAAACGTTACTATTTCATTTGTTCTGTATTTCATTGATGTTGAGGTTATGTAATTTTTGATTTGATACACTTGTAGTAAGAACCATCAAATTTTATTATACAATTATTTAAGTACGTAAAACAATAGTTTCGTTTTAAATAAAAAATCTTTAATTTTGAGAAATTTTACAAAATGTCATAAAAGAAACGTTATTATTTCATTTGTTCTGCATTTCATTGATGTTAAGGTTATGTAAATTATTATTTGATACACTTGTAGTAAGAACTATCAAATTTTATTATACAATAATTTATTTACGTATTTACAATCAATTAGAAAAAATCACAGCAAATTATGAAATAAAATTCAATGTGGATAAATGGACAATAGTTGTTGAATGAACATAAAATGTAAAGAAAGATTTCCATTTTCTATATAATTTGAATATTAATAACGAAATTGTTTATTATAAAATCAGATTTTTTTGTTAATTACAATATAAATTGTAAATTTTCATTCAAACTTATCCCAAAAATACAAACAATCATAATGAAATCAGGAATTGATGAAAAAATTGAATTGGATTTGAAGTTTACTAAACTTTTCCAAGTAAATTTTATTGCTTAATTTAAGAAATATAGATGCAAATAAGTTGTGATGTAATTTTGGAATGTAATAAAAAAATGTTAAAAATCCTTAATTTTGAGAAATTTTACAAAGTGTCACAAAAGAAACGTTACTATTTCATTTGTTCTGCATTTCATTGATGTTGAGGTTATGTAAATTTTTATTTGATACACTTGTAGTAAGAACCATCAAATTTTATTATACAATAATTTAAGTACGTATTATTACATATGTTTGCAATTAATTAAAAAAAAAATCAAAGCAAATTATGAAATAAAATTCAATGTGAACAAATGGACAATAGTTGTTGAATGAACATAAAATGTAAAGAAAGATTTCCATTTTCTATAGAATTTGAATATTAATAACGAAATTGTTTATTATAAAATCATTTTTTTTTTGTTAATTACAATATAAATTGTAAATTTTCATTCAAACTTATCCCAAAAATACAAACAATCATAATGAAATCATGAATTGATGATAAAATTGAATTGATTTGATGTTTACTAAACTTTTCCAAGTAAATGTTATTGCTTGATTTAAGAAATATAGATGCAAATAAGTTGTGATGTAATTTTGGAATGTAATAAAAAAATGTTAAAAATCCTTAATTTTGAGAAATTTTACAAAGTGTCACAAAAGAAACGTTACTATTTCATTTGTTCTGAATTTCATTGATGTTGAGGTTATGTAATTTTGTATTTGATACACTTGTAGTAAGAACCATCAAATTTTATTATACAATAATTTAAGTACGTAAAACAATAGTTTCATTTTAAATAAAAATCTTTAATTTTGAGATATTTTTCAATGTGTCACAAAAGAAACGTTACTATTTCATTTGTTCTGCATTTTATTGATATTGAGGTTATGTAAATTATTATTTGATACACTTGTAGTAAGAACCATCAAATTTTATTATACAATAATTTAAGTACGTAAAACAATACTTTCGTTTTAAATAAAAAATCTTTAATTTTGAGATATTTTACAAAGTGTCACAAAAGAAACGTTACTATTTCATTTGTTCTGCATTTCATTAATGTTGAGATTATGTACATTTTTATTTGATACACTTGTAGTAAGAACCATCAAATTTTATTATACAATAATTTAAGTACGTATTATTACTTATGTTTGCAATTAATTAAAAAAAAATCAAAGCAAATTATGAAATAATATTTAATGTGGACAATAGTTGTTGAGAGATGTTTCTTAAGATTTTCTTCTCGTTAATAAACATAAAATGTAAAGAAACATTTCCATTTTCTATAGAATTTGAATATTAATTACAATATAAATTGTAAATTTTCATTCAAACTTATCCCAAAAATACAAACAATCATAATGAAATCATGAATTGATGAAAAAATTGAATTGGATTTGAAGTTTACTAAACTTTTCCAAGTAAATTGTATTGCTTGATTTAAGAAATATAGATGCAAATAAGTTGTGATGTAATTTTGGAATGTTTGATAGTAATCAAAAAAATGCCTTGTTATTCATATTATCAAAGGAGGCAAGAAAAAAGAACAACAGAAGATCGTGACTGAATGTGCTTGTGCTTGAAATGAAACTGACGAAAACAGTATAAAATGTGAGAGAGATGAATAGATGAGAGAGAGAGAGAGGAAAAAATGGAGCTAAGTATAAGGTTTGCTTGGAATTGCTTAATTGGATTCTCACGAAGCCGATGTTGGAAATGTAGCTGCAAGTGCATCCGAGATTGGATGCGATCCGAGGCGGTGCGACGTAATGGAAAGTGGTGGTGGTGTGTTCTTTGTGTGTCGATGCAAAAGCGATACAACACCGTTCACCCAATCTTCCAACTCTCTTTCACCTTCGGCTCGCATCCACCCTCTTCCGACCAAAAACAGGTTCGATAATTATTTTTATTTATGTAGAGGAGAAGAAGGAGTGAAAGAGGATTACGGTCGATAGCCTTTCGCAAAGACACCGTATTATAATCGTAATGTTTTACAGCATTGCAATAGCATTGAATGTTAATACACCGAACCGCATTCTCCATTATTCAAATGCACGGGGAATGCAACAAGATGAAATATAAAAGCGAACTAATCATAGCATTATCTTTACCAGTAATCCCATTTTACCAGGAATCTGATGGATCTGTACACCTATTAAAGAAATTCATAATTTATTACTATCATTACAAGATGTTGCGGCTTTTTCTCTGATGGGAATATTGAAAACGGGACGTAATTGTTCACGATCAAAGTTCATACTAGCGCAATCAATATTAGTTAATTGGATTTTATTGACTTAACCCAATTTTCATTTGCTAATGAATCAATTTCATTCTTGATAAAATTATAATATAAATTTACAAAATTTGGTTGGTTTTATAAGAAAATTATTAATGCAACAAAAGTTCCAAATTTCGCTTATATAAATTGATTTTTAACTTATTATAAAAACAATACTCAAAATCTCTAAGCTTTAACTCAGAGTCAGTTAGATTTTTAGACTTAAAACATGCAGAATACTGAAATTAATTGATTTTCTGTAACTTACAAAACTAAATAAAATAATCAACTTTAAGAAGAAATGTTTTTTCTTAACTAATTTAAGCGAGAAATAAACTTAAATTAAAACCAATAAATTCATGATTTGATTCAAAATCATTAATAAAATTAGATAATTGAAATAATTTCATTCAAATTACATATAAAAAACTGTAATCCAAACCTTAGCAAATCATGTTTTTTTTTTTATAAAATAAATTTTGCTTGTAAATTATGTAAAATATTAGTTTTTTTTTTACTTAAATTCAACAATTTTCTATATAAAAATGTATAAAAATGACAGGTTTAAATCA